CAGAAGTTAGGAACAAGAAGGATCAGAACCAGTTTATTTCTTCTGAACAAACTGCCCTGCATTCCTCAGAGCCTCAACACTTTGTTATCAACTCCACCGTTGAAAACAGAGCAAGTGAAATAGAGCAAAACCACCTCCACAACTATGCCCTTTCCTATGCCGGCAGCGATAACATCGTTCTGGCCTCTAAAGATATGTTTGGGCCCAACAACCGAGGGATAGACAAAGGCCTCCAGTGGCACCACCAGTGTCCAAAGTGCACGAGAGTATTTCGGCATCTGGAAAACTATGCTAATCACTTAAAGATGCATAAACTATTTATGTGTCTGCTCTGTGGCAAGACATTCACTCAGAAGGGCAACCTCCACCGGCACATGAGAGTGCACGCAGGCATCAAACCATTCCAATGTAAGATCTGTGGGAAAACGTTCTCTCAGAAATGTTCCTTACAGGACCACCTCAACCTGCACAGTGGGGACAAGCCCCATAAGTGTAACTACTGTGACATGGTTTTCGCCCATAAACCCGTTTTGAGGAAACACCTTAAACAGCTGCATGGTAAAAATAGCTTTGACAATGCCAATGAGAGGAACGTGCAAGACATAACGGTGGACTTCGATTCGTTCACGTGTAGCGCTGCTACAGACAGTAAGGTCTGTCAGCAGGCTGATGCCAGCCAGGTACTGGATGCAGGGAAGCTGCCTCAGGCTGTGCTCAGTTTAAGAAACGATAGTACCTGCGTCAATTAAGCAATTAAAACCTGCCCTGTGCAGGGATCATGACTGAGAGGAGCAAACCATTGGTTTGGGTTCTTTCCCAAACTAGTAGTGTGCCCCGAAAGGCTAGGGATGGTTGGATTGCAAAACCTGGCAGGTCTTCATCCATCGTTCTTAGTCTTACTTGATATTTTCTGTGAATAGCAATCCTCCTTCAGGTTTCTGTCTGTGTCTCTACTGTGGATTATGGGGTTAATTATTTCATTTCTCTCTGATTAGGAGACTCAAGACTAACACCTTTTGAAAGACTGTTGCTGTGGGCTGCAAGTAAACCATCTGCTGTACAGTTAGAGGCCTCTCTGTGTCTGGGCAGATGGAGGAAAGAGCAAGGAGGACAAGTCTGAGAGAAGCCGATTTTTTTTTTTAAGAAAGCACTGGATAACTGAAAACACTCCATATACTTAAATTTAAACTTACCTCTTAAAATTACCTTTCTCTGATCTTATCCCTAGACTCCTACAGTTAAAATGAAGTATTTTTGTGTCACTTTTTTGCCCTTTCTAAACTTATTTCAAGAAACTTCTGCTGCCAATCGATGCTCTCTTAATAGCTCTCAGGGTTTTTAACCTCAACATGCATTATGAAAAGATGAAACCCTAAATGATTTGGCAGGGTTAGCTGATCATTGCATAGAGCTGTTCAAACTGAGGATAAACTGCAGCTCTGGAATGTGAGAGGCTGGTGCCCGGAGTGCAAGTATGACCCATTTCTTATGCTGGCATACCTGGGATTTTTAAAGGGCACTCACCAGTGCATGTACTGAGACAAGCTAAACACTTCAAAGCTAAAAATTATCATCCATCTTCCATACGTTTTGCAGCACAAACCACAACAGCTGTTGGGTTTAAAGCAAAGCTGGAGTGGAGAAATACTGCTTTTTGACACTGTGAAAAGAATCTGTTTTTAAAGCTGCAATGTATAACAACTCCATGCTTTTTTTTTTCTTGCCTTTTTTCCCCCCCCCTTAGTTCTTGTACGTCTCTCTTTGATGTCTAATAAGGGCCACATGTCAGTTAACTTGAAACAAAAATACCTGCTATAAGAACTTAAGCAACATAAAGTTTTTTGATTTTGTTGACATTTTTTGAAGTGACCTCCATAGTTCACAACCATTAGTGTTTTACAGAGCCTGGGATGAGGTATAGGTAGCACAATTTCTGTAGGTTAATATATCAGCTATTGACTGTACTCAGCAATACCTCTTGTATTACCGCCTTAAACATCCAATGTAGCGGGAATGGCATGTTCATTGGGATTCTGGGATTACACTGTATTGCTTCTCAAAAGTGCCGTGGAATTATCCGCATCCCAGTCGGGCTGAAAGCAGCTTAATGTATCTGAGGCACACCATTCCCAGTAGAACAGCACTCTTAGTACACTGAAGTGTAGCATAGACTAATAATCAAATGGCTGATCCTCGGCAGAGAACTGCTGTTTGTGTTTGGAATAAGTATTTCTTCCAATGCAGCTCTTTTCCACAGGGTTTGCCACGAGGCTGAGATTATACTTCCTACCTAAACGTAGCACTGTCGGTGTGTTTGACTGAGGGGTGGGGGTGAAAGGCTGCTATTGTGTGGTTAAAAATGCTAAACAGGTATGACCAAAGGTGTGTTGGAGCAAAAAGCGTATCTTGTATGTCATTATCAGAAGTTGGTCTTGCTCTTCAGTTCTGTGTGTGTAGAAGCCAGGATTTCCTTACACAGACAGTTCACTGATGGACGATAAAACGTGTTGATGTTGCAGAAAGTTTTCAGAAATCCACATACTTTGCAGTAGAAAAGGAAGGTGATTCTGTGAATCGGTTTTTGCAATTGAGTTCTTGAACTACTGTATTTGACTGTTACACGAACTCTTACATGGACAGCTATGAAGTAAGCAATGGAAATGGCATCAGGGCATTCATCTTTCAAGTTGTAGCAAATATATTCAGGCCTAAAGTCTAACTATATGAAACTTTTTAAAATTATTGTTCAGGTTCCTGGGGCAGAAAATAGGTTTGCACGGGAAGAACTGTTTTTCCTCTTAAAGCCACCTGCTTTCAGAATTGTTTTGAGCTAAATTCGACCGTGACAGTTGCATCTGACACTTGCATTCTGCCTTCAGGCAGAGTCTTCTGTATTGTTCAAACATTTGGATAATCTTATTCACTGTATGGAAAAAGTTACAGCACTAACGTCAAAAGGAAGATAGACATGGAGAACAGGAGCTTGCAGAGCCAGGTCAATGTCCTGGAAGGTACTAGTGAACAATCCAACCCAATACGAATATGGACGTGAAAAAGAAAATGGTCTTCTGCCAGAGAAAGGAATAAAACTGTACAAATGCTAGAAAGTGGCAGCAAAATGGACAGTATTGAAAGTTTTGTCTATCTGGGAAGTATTGGTTTTTTGTGGATTTATGAAGCTGTAATATTACTGTAAGGAAAATACAGCTTGTTGAAGTAGCTGTGGGTGATCTGAAGCTGATATGAAGAAACAAGGGGTTTCCTAAGAAACAACAAAAAAATTTTTGGGCGAGATATGTAGGTTTTTAATCCACCCTGTGCTGTGGCAATTTGAATGTCTGAGAAGGCCAAGACTGCTGGTGGTTCAGTTAAAGGCTGCTGTGGTCATTTGGAAAAAGCAGAAGTGCAGAAGACGTTGGTCAATGAAAATGGACACATCTGTTGGATGAAAAGTGACTTCTACTAAGGTCTGTGCTTTCAGCCTGGCAAAAGGGTGCAGACCAAAAGATTTATGCAGTAGATGGCTGCATGACTCCAGAAACACTGGAGATCTAAGGGCACTGGTGGTAGAGTTCATCTAAGATTTGCCCCTATATGGAAAGACAAGTGAAAAGTATAGAAGAGGTACTAGAAAAGAAAAATGTGTCTAATGCTTCTTCTCTGAATTACAGATTCAAATGGAGTGAGAATTACTATAAATGGAATACGCAGAGGCAGCTCGGTTATAGAAGATGAACTTAATTGTCCATGTATGTAAAATGTTGTCTTCATTGCAATGTCCCGAGTAGTGAAAGACTAGATCCATTGGTTGTTGCTACTGATGCTGCATATTCAGATGAGGACTATGGCAGTTATCATAATCTGTGTGTTACTGTGTAGAATACTATTTGCTGGTAAGTGGATAGTCTCACAAGTTAATGTGCTGTACAACTTCCTGCATATCCTAAAAATAACTGAAGTCTATTACAAAAATATTTTAATAACTCCTCAATATATTAGGATTTTTTTTTTATGTTGGCATTTTATTTATTTATTTTATATAGAAGAAGGAATTCTTAGAACTCTTAGGTTTGCCAGAGGTTTGGGCTCACCACTTCTCTGAGTGGTTGTAGCTTGTGTAGCACGTGTTCCTGCAGCACCCGCTGCAGCTGCACAGCCTCCTGCATAGATCAGGGACGAGTGTTTCCTTAATTTATTTTTCTTTTAGAACACAGGTTTTGCAAGTTAGTTACTGATAAAATTGAAGTGTCAGTCTTTTTCTCCTCTGGCTTTTTGGCAAAACTTAGCTGCCGCTGAACTGTTGTTGAAATAACTGAAAAATTAATTTTGTGGGGCTGATTTTGGTTCTGGAGTCGTTGGGAGGAGAAAAAGTGAGGAGGGAGAATCAAAATGTGATACCAACCGAAACTGTTGAGAGAATTCTAAAGTCACGCTAAATGTCGATTTTTAAAAAGAGGGGGAAACAGTGGTGCCTCCTGACTTGGCAAGGGGTGAGAAGGCAGGACGGAAGGACGTTTTTCCTTTGAGATTGTATAATCGATGGACTGAGCATTAGCTACCTCTTCAGTGACTGGGCAAAAGTCTTACACTACGTGTGATAACCAAAGCAGGCGGGTCGGCGGCTGCCGGGCGGTGTCCCGTGGCCGGGGAGCAGCCAGCAGCTCGTCCGGGCGGCGGTTCTCCGTTCTCCCGGCACGTCCCGGCTGGTGGCGAGGAGGAGCCCCGGCCGCCGCCCCCGGGATGCCTTACGGGGGCCGACGCGTCGCTACCTCTCCCGGCCGCGGGGCGAGGCGCGCCCCGGTGCCGGTGCGGTGTCCCCCGGCGGCAGCCGCTGTAGCAGTGCCAAGTCTTCTAATAAACGTGCTGCTAACTCTGCGTGCCGCCGCCTCTCATTTCCAGCGCGGGCACGGCGCGCCGGGGGCGGGCAGGCGGAAGGGGCGGGCGGGGAAGCGGTTCCGGGGCGCTGCGGCACCGGCGGGGATCGCGCGGGGGTGCGGGGACCGGCCGGTGAGCGGGGCGCGGCGGGCGGGCCGGGAGCCCCGGACAGCGGGCCCGGAGCCCCGGACAGCGGGTCCTGAGCCCCGGACAGCGGGCGCGGGTGGGCAGGGCCCGGGGAGACGCTCCGGCGGCGGCCGCGGGTCCCGCCATGGCGGCGGACTCGGAGGTGCTGCACTTCCAGTTCGAGCAGCAGGGCGATGCCGTGCTGCAGAAGATGAACCTCCTGCGGCAGCAGAACCTCTTCTGCGACGTGTCCATCTACATCAACGACACGGAGTTCCAGGGGCACAAGGTGATCTTCGCAGCCTGCTCCACCTTCATGCGGGACCAGTTCCTGCTCAACCAGTCCCGGCAGGTGCGGATCACCATCCTGCAGAGCGCAGAGGTGGGCAGGAAGCTGCTGCTGTCCTGCTACACGGGCGCGCTGGAAGTCAAGAAGAAGGAGCTGCTGAAGTACCTGACGGCCGCGAGTTACCTGCAGATGGTTCACATCGTGGAGAAGTGCACCGAGGCTTTGTCCAAGTACTTGGAGATCGATGCTTCCATGGAGAGCTGTGCCCAGGCTGCAGAGGGGTGCCACTCCTCAGATGCTGAACTGAGGAATGGGGATGAGGCTTTAGATAAAGACTGTGAAATAATTGAGATCTCTGAAGACAGCCCAGAGAATGAAGAATACCCGGTGAAGCAGGAGGAGGGGGATGGCCCACAGCCCATGGCACAGAGCTTGGTGTCAGAAAGGAAGGACACAAAATCCCCAGAAATATCAACAGTAGAAATCGGGTATAAGGATGATGAAATCTGTATCTTCAGAATGGATTCTGTGAGTGTAGCGAATGTAGAAAATGATCGTTTTCCTCAGCCTTGCACTTCCTCTAAAACAAATTTGTATTTCCCAGAAACCCAGCACTCTTTGATAAACTCTACAGTTGAAAGCAGAAATACAGAAATGTCAGGAAATCACTTCCAGGCTTTTGTCAGTGACAACCCAGAAGGAACTTCTAGCGGGGTAAATGGGTTCCAGAGCCTGGAGGATTCTGGCAGCTCGTGGCGGCACCAGTGTCCCAAGTGTCCGAGGGGGTTCCTGCACCTCGAGAACTATCTCAGACATCTCAAGATGCACAAACTTTTCCTGTGTTTGCAGTGCGGCAAAACGTTTACGCAGAAAAAGAATCTCAACAGACACATCCGGGGGCACATGGGGATCCGGCCCTTCCAGTGCATGGTGTGCCTGAAGACTTTCACTGCCAAGAGCACACTCCAGGACCACCTCAACATCCACAGCGGGGACAGGCCCTACAAGTGCCACTGCTGCGACATGGACTTCAAACACAAATCTGCTCTCAAAAAGCATTTGACTTCTGTTCATGGGAGGAGCAGCAGCGAAAAACCAAACCTGAACAATATTACAAAGGTTAAAATAGACTATGATTGACAGCTGGGTGGCTGTGGAGTCAGGCTCCACAGAAAGCTCCTGGCTAGTGAAATTCTAGATGCAATTCCAGCTCCAGATCCCCATGTAACAGAGAGAAGCACAAACAGGTGACTGGTGATCCAAGACAGGCCTTGGGGTAGCAAACTTGGCTGTTCACTTAAGGTTGCTGTTGCTGTCAGTGAAAAAAAAAGGTGTTTCCTAATTGAAAGTAAACTGCAAATGATGGGAAATTATTTCATGCTTCTCTTCTATTATTCTGAGCACGTTCTGATCCCCCCCAATGATGTTTTACATTCCTGGTTTCAAGGGCAGGCACCACTGACTGTCAAACTATTACTGATACTGCAATAAGCTGAAGCCTGAGCCATGGTGTTGGTGACAACAGCTGAGAGAAGGGGATGTTTGTGTTTATTCAGTCCCATCCAGTTCATGGATCATTTATGGTGAAATCATCTCCTTCCTTGCCCAAACTTTGCTAGATCTTTCAACAGAAAGAAGGCGTGTTTTCATGCCCAAGTCTGTGATGTTTAAGAAAGGATACACAACAAAAACTTCCTTACAAGGAAGCTTTCAAATCGCCTCTTGCAAATAGAGAATTGGTAAAAGAGAAGTAAACAAACAGTATTGCCTTGCAGTTCATTTGTAACTGGATAGTCCCGTGAGAAGGACTTGCTTTTAGTTTAAGTTCTGAATTTTTATAAACTTTCTTATAATAGTGCTTTTTTTCTGTCATACCAGTGTTTTGCGCCTGTATTTGAGTAATTTCAATTAAGTTTAGTCCTGTTTACTGAGTTGTAACATTTGCCCTCATTTTTTACAGATGTTAGATACATACACTCGTGAAATTCAGCTGTGTGCTGTTGCGTAACCACAGTTTTAACATTAATTTTGAAAATTAGCAACAGCTTAGACATAGGGGTCTCATACTCTGATTCTGTGACACGGTAACACAGTAAAGATGTGTGTTTGCATAGGTGTGTTTGTGCTTTGTCAAAGCTCATTTTGGTTTCATTATGATCATTGAGAGCCCTGTGATGCAGAGTCTGTATCCTGAATGTGTCTTTGACTGGTACATGTTTCTTCCACTTAATGTGATATAAATAAAGAGTTAATTCAGTTGTTAATATGAGATAATGGTACTTACAATTAGCAAAAAGCAGTAGTTCTTACTCCTCTCTGTATCACACTTTCCTTCAAGTTTCAGAAGTGCTGTTACAAGTTCTTGCTCTGAGTCCAGACATATGGCCTGAGTACTCCAGAATCTGGCTGGTTCTAAAATCCAAGATAATAGTTTTTAATGTCAGTTCCCAGGTTTCACTTTCCTCCCCTGTGTCTGTGAGTGCACCAGCCACTGTTTGGGGTTTTACTGATCAGCTGCATGAGGGACTGGGTGTGTCCAATATCTGCCATGCACTCTTCTGTTACTGCCTGTTACAGGCATGGTCAGGTGTGGGTATTTCCCTTGTGGGCACCTCCCTGTGTGCCGAAGGGGAAGCAGATGCTGATCTTTTGAGGTGCATCTTCTGTGGGAGCAGATTGCGAGTTATTTTGGTCGTGCATGTAAACATGAGAGGGAGTTGTGTTGTGTGACAGGCCACCAGCATGTTCTGTTCAGTGGCTGCAGTGTCTCAGTGACCTTTGTGAACAAACCCTGGTCTTGTGCACACGTTCACATTCAAGGTGTTTCCTCTCCCCTGTCTGTACATGTAACATGTCCTGTCATAACATAATAAACGAAATGCAAACAAGGCATTGCTTCAGAAATACATCTCCTTTCTTCTGAACCAAGTTAACAATTCTGTGCATACCTTAACACTTAGTATTTTGGCTTTGCTATGGTGAGTAAACAAGATGTGAACAGAACACGGTGTTCCAGTGACAGTCATTTAGTAACACGTTTCTCTGCCCTTCAGAGGGGTCTGTGTGACCCACTTGTGCCATGAACTCTTCCCCCTCTGGAATGGCAGCTCTGCACTGTCGCTTTGGTTAAGAAACTGTTGATCTCTCAGTGCCCAAAGGAGGAAGGTGCATTCACGGTGCTTCGGGGGGTGCTGGGATGGAGCCAGAGCCCCGGTGCTCCCCACACGGCCCTGAGCCCGCCGGCCGGAGCGGCCCCGGCCTCCGCCTCCTCGGCGAGGACAAACAACGTGCGCCAGAGCCCGCCTGCACTCCTCTCATCCTCCTGAGCGCCAGCGATAGCAAAGTTATTAATTAAAAATTAAATAGGACAACAAATAACCGGCGCTAGCGGCCGCGGAGCGGCTGAGGCGACGCTGACGGAGGCGCGCCGCTAGGCGGCGCTGGTGGCGCCGGGCGGCGCTCTTGCCACGCCCTCTCTATGTCCGCCGCTTCCCCCCTGGCGGCGGGGCCCTTCCGTTACGGGGCGCGTCTGCGCCGCCGTCTCTGTGGTAACTCCCCGTTCCTCCCTGGCCGGGCGCGGTCACGTGCGCGCGCGCGGGCTCTCGCGAGAGCGGCGCGCGGGGCGTGGCGGCGCGGCGCTGTCAGCGCGATGAGGCGGCGCCGCCGGGGCTCGCGCCGCTGCCTCCGCCGGGCCGCGCGCGCGCCCCATGGCGCCTGAGGCGGCCCCGCCCGGCCCCGACCCCGACCCCGCGCCCGCCGGCCCCGCGCCCGCCCCGCCGAACAGGTACGGACGGCACGGCAGCGGCCGGGCTGGGCTGGGCTGGGCGGCGGCGGCCGCCGCGGGGGACGCGCTGACCCGCCGGGGCCCCGCCCGCGCCCCCCCCTTCCCTCCCGCCGCGCTCCCGGTGCTTCCTCCGCCTCCTCCCGGCGCTGCGGGAGCGCGGCCGGGCCGGGCCCGCCCGCCGCGGAGCGCGGGGGTGTCGGCGGGCGGCGGGGCCCGGCAGGCCGCGGGGCCGGCCCGGGGACACCGGCAGCCATTTGGTGGCGGCCCCGAAATGACGGCGGGGGCCCGGCCCGGTGCGGGAGCGGAGCCTGGATCGGGGCCGGGCGCTGCTGGCAGCGGCCTGCGGGGGCACCGGGGCTGCGGGAGCACTCACGGCACCGACGGGCAGGGGGGCAGCTCCCGGTGCCTCCCCCCAGCCCCTCGGGGGCCGCAGCCCCGGCGGCCCGCGCTGAGCCGTCCCTGGCACGGGGAGAGCCGAGCGGTGCCGGCTGTGTTCCGGGGTGCAGGATCCCCGGAGCTGAGCTTTGGGGTAATGGTGGAAGGCAGTCGTAGGGGGGGACAGGCCCGAGGGCTGCAGGCACCGAGTCGCGTTTGAAGTGTTTTAAAAAAAACAAACAACTGAGCAGGAGAAGCGTGTGTAGGTTGTGCTGATGCTCGAGGTGTCCAGTTCAGTGCAGAAGTCAGCACAAAGCACAGCAAGGGCAGAGTGTGGTGGGAGAGTGATGAGTGCTCAGTTCAGGGTTCAGAGGGGAATGCCGTGGAGCTGGAATGAGAGAAAATAATGACAAAGTTTAGGCAGGCAACCAGGGCGATTTCTGATCCAGGCCTGGTTCACTTCCCTGCAAACTTTGCATGTTGTTTGGGTTTAATTGTAATTCCTGTAGCTTTCCCCAAGAAAATGTTTCTTATTAACTCGTGTTCCTGTCTTGTGCGAGGTTGTGGCCATTTCTCTCAAAAATATTAAATTCCAGCAGATTTTAGTGTCAGTGCTTGAGATATCCCAAAGTGAACTCCTGGTCTTGGGTGTTGATCTCATTTATTTAAGGCTTTGTTGATTTACAGTAGATAAGATACTTAAAATATTCAGAGGGTAAGAGTAGCATTTGTTAGGAGTGTTATATATTTCATTTGGTAATATTCTGTAAACCTTTAATGGGATAAATGGAAGGGGTCTCCTTGCTGACTGGACAACCATAAGGAAAGGAAAAAAATTACATCCATGGGCATATTGAGCCATTCTGTACAACCTTTAAAGAGGCTTCCCAGCTCCTATGGAGCCCTGTGTTTTCTTGTCTACGTCTCAGAATGGAAATAGCATTTCATTACAATTATTGGGAAAATGTTAGAATACAGAATTTCTCTCTTGTAAGATATATAGTTTAAGGATGGAGGTTGTGTTTTTAAAAAACAAAAAGCTTGGGGAACTGAACCATACATGGGAGTCCTTATTCTGTGAAAATATTAACTGGAGAGTCAGGAATTCTGCAGCATGTCTCTTCGTGAAGTAACTGTGTCAAAATAGATCTGCTTAAAAATAAATTCCCTTTCTCTGCATTCAGAGGGAGTTCAGCTGATTTTGGTGGCAAAGAAAATTTTTCATTTATTTGCCCTTCAGTTAGTCCTGAAAAGTCAATACTGTTACAGGAGCTGAATTGGTGTTGGGCTGGTGGCAAGGACAGACTCCCCTTTCAGTGACACCTACAACACACAAGGAAGAACCCACAGTGGCGTTACAGAAGTATTTAGGAAACTTTTCAAGTCTGTTAGCAGGATTTCTGGTGGCTTGAGCAGGGAGGAGCAGGTGTGAAGTGCTGAGGATGCACTGACTCTGGGGTTGGTTTGGAGGGAGTTACCTCTGAACTGAGTGAACTTTGGCAGTCACTGAGCAGCCACGAGCTTAAATTTATATTAGTCAACTGTACCCCTGTTCACAGGAATTATTCTTCAGCCACGTATTTTAAGGAGACAGAGGGCATCTAAGCTCGGATTTTTAACGCAGATAGCAAGTGAAGCATCCCATAGGCGTTTTGGCAAAACGTGGTCTGGATACACGTATATATTCAGATGTATATTTAGGACACAAGCAATAGGATTGAAGCTCTGTCAGGGAAGTTCAGGTTGGACATCAGGAAAAGGTTCTTCCCTCAGAGGGTGGTTGGGCACTGACCAGGCTCCCCAGGGTAGTGGGCACAGCCCCAAGGCTGCCAGAGCTCAAGGGGCATCTGGATGATGCTTTTAGTCATGTGGTTCAGTGTCAAGTACTCCTGAGAGAAGCAGAGTTAGACCTGATGATCCTTATGTGTCCCTTCCAGCTCGAGATACTCTATAATTGTAGTATGTCCCCAAAATTTCTCTTGGTAACTTTCCTGAGATTTGAATTGGGCTGTGGATACTCCCGGTAACATTAATGTGCAGTGAAAACATCGCGTTGAAATACTGTATTTAATGGTCATTAAAGATGTTATATATAGAATTTGCACTTGATACAAAGAGATTTACATGTGACAGATATTATGGAGTGTGGAAATAAGCAAGTCTGCTCTTTAAAGAGGATTTATTTTGATTTCAGGCCATCATAGCTGAACAATACAGAGCTGTTACGGGGATGGCCCTTTCTTAAGCCTTTAATGAAGCTACTTTTTAGATCTATAGATGATGGCTGTTGAAGAGACATTAATAAAATATTCTAGCCCTTCCAGCCAATACTTTCACACTGATAATTTGATTACATGGACATTTAAGTTTTTGATCCAGTCAGAATGCTTTCAGAAATACAAAACTTAGGAAAACTTGAAAAGGCTGCCTCTTTGCAGTGCAAACAGACCATTAATCTGCATAAATGAAAAACTGTAATGGAGATCACTTTAAAAAAGAAAAGGAAATGCCGTGATCTCTAGCATTAAGAGCAAGCCAATATCAAGGACTCTTTAATTCAGTGATTAAAAATCAATTGAATTCTAAGATTTAGGCTTAAATCCACAGTGAGATTGCAATTGAACCTCGGTTGTGAAAATGCCATATAATTTCGCAAGTTTTCTGAGATCTTCCTTCATCTGTAGAGAAGACTTCCCTTTGCTCAGCGCTGACAGAGTTATTCCATGTCTCATTTGTATCCAAGCTCTGCTTGTTCCTGTTCCCTTTGCCTGTGGCCCACAGGGGCCCTGAGCAGAGCAGAGCTAACGTGGAGCTGTGGGAAGGCAGCGGAGCCTCCAGCCCTTCCTCTGACAGGGGATGGAACTTGCCTGTCTCGCATTTTGGCAAATGCCCTGACTGAGCAGTGTGGGAGAGGAACAGACTGACAGAACACCCTGATCACCTAAGCTTGGTATCTTCAGGAAATCAGAATTAAACTATGTTTATCATGTCCAAAGGGGGTTGAGTAAGCACAGTGACTTAGATTAGTTGTAGAGAATACCTTGGGGTTAAGTAGCTGGAAGTTACTGTAAAATAACCTTACAACTTCCATCATCTGTAAGTGGTACAGC